GCATATATTTTGTTATTTATATACATATTTTTTTAATGAATTTATACTTTATTTGTATACCCCCTCGGCAACGCATGGACATTCTGCTAATAATAATAAAAAAGGTTAAAATACTAGAAAAACTCTTAATGTTTATTATTTTTATTTAAATAAGCTTTTATATTTTTATTATATCCAAATAAATTTTATTCTTTGATTTATATTCAAATAAGCTCTTATTTCAAATAAAATATTAATTTATGTGAAATGTTTATTTCGGTATAAATTAAAGACTAAAGTTTATTTGAATACAATTTAAAGTACAAGAGCTTATTTGGGCGAAAAAAAGGTTAAGATTCTATTTTTGGTACAAAAAATTATAAAATTTTATCTAAATAAAATGAAAAAGTTTACATGCCTTTTTATTATTTTAACTTTCAAAAAAAAATACAAGGTCAAAAGGGCTTTATAAAGGACTAGCCCAAAATACGAGCTAGGCTTGCAATTTGCTAATCAAAGTTGTTGCGTGTCCGACAGTCCATTGTTCAAATCTCCTATACTTAGAATCTATTTAAATGAACGATTAGATTGGTTGATAATCAAGTTAATGTGTATGAAATGATATTTTAGAGTGAAATTAATTAATTTAATGAATATTTGTTTTTTGTTACAAATGAACTTGTATAATATCAAACGTAATAAGAAGATAAAATAATCATTAAGAATATTAAACTAAAATTTATATATAATAGAATTTATTGTTTATATATAATATTTGTTAAATTAATAAATAATTAAAAATCATTAAAATTATTTATATTAAATAATATTTTTATTAATAAATTAAAAATTGATAAATTTAATTTTAAATATTAAAAATTAGAAAAATACTTCAAAATATTTAATATTTGAAAATTTTTGCTTATAACAGTTATAAATGTTAGTTAGATAATTTAATATTAAACAAAATAAACAAATTTAAATTATACATATATATATATATATGTTAAAACGTTTTAGGAAATAAGAAAACTAGTAAGTACAATACGGTCCATAAATCTCAACTGGACCTTTCATTTGCCCACTTCACCCTAATCACTCCAGTCACCAACTGGAGAAATGATGACTTTGAAGGCTCTGGAGCGTAGCATCCGAATTGCATTTCGGTACGATTTAGGGGGTAAAAAGGTGCTTAGTTTTATCGCACTTGTCTTAATACATCCAAATGCACTTTTAATCGAAGTGGTCTCAGTTTTGGACTAAAACAAACAAATACTTCGAAACGGATCTGATCAAAATGCACGGCATTTAAAAGATGTCTACTAAGATTATCCATCCATTATAAATTTAAGGTTTATTTGAATTAATGATAACATTAATTTTGATAAAATTAAAAATAATAATAAAAGTAAAATTAATTTTTATAATAATAAATTAAAATTGAAGTAAGAAGATAAAATGATAATTAAAGATATTATAATAAAAATTATATGTAATAAATATTTTAAATTATTTAAAATATATAAAATTAATAAATAATTAAAATTTTATTTTAGTATCAAATAATTATTTTGTTAATAAATAATTAAAAATCAAGATTTATTTATTACATAATAATAAAATTAATTTATTATATTTATTAATAAATACGTTTAAATATAGCTTGAGATTTGATTAAAAGTGAAAGGGTAAAATTTTATTTTAAAAAAATTATTAATGGTGCGATCAGTCACTAGAAAAAAGCGAGTGGATGATCACCACAGCCCGCACCATGCTGGGATCCATTTGGGTCTCAACCGGCTTGTTAACACCAAAATGAAAGGTAACCGGTCCCTATCAAGATCTGGTTGCATCCAAACGGAACCTAGTTACAAACCAAAACAGTGGAGATTTTTGGAGAAAAAGGATGAAAGTAAAACGTCTAAAGTCTAAACTGTAAAGAAGAATCAAACTTTTTAGTTCTACTCTGATTCTCTTCCATCTCCGTTTCCCCATTTTTAGGTTCACTGTTTCTTTTTTTTTTTTTTTTCCGGTCGCTTTCACATGTATTTCTACACCGAGAATTAGACCATCTACTTGGAAAAGTCCAAGATATTAGGTAGAGAGGTAATATAACTCAAATCCGATATGTTATATTTTTTAGGAGAATTTTTTTTTTTTAAATTGGGTATCGAATTAGGTTGGATGAAAAAAAAATTTAAATTCAAGTTAAGATTACATTTTAGATAAAGTGATCATATCAAACTTGACATATATAAAAAAAAATTTAATTATTTATTTATATATTTATATTAAAAAATAATATTTTATTAATTTAAAATTAAATCAAATTAAATATAATTTTATATAATATCGAATCGAATTTAAATATAAAAATAAAAAAATTATTAAATCACATCAAATTAAATTTTATATATATAAATCAAATCAAATTCAAAATATATATTACCATTATTAATTATTATCTGTGCTAAGCTATCTGCCAATATCCCACTGGTCCAAGTTAACCTTCCATATAAAACAGTGATTTTTCAATGAGCCTCTCTAAAACTCTGGTTTTCTCTTTGGAAACAAAGAAATTGCTCTTCTGATTTCCTTTTGTCTGATTCTGGAAACCAGCTTAAATTCAAAAGAGAAGTAGTGTAATAAATGTTACTACTAAAAGAAGCGCAGTGATTCTGGTGAGCATGCGTCAGTGACGGTCAACCATAAAGGAAAACAATAAATTTAATTAAATTAAAAGAGATGAGGTAAGAGTTTTGAATGCTGTGTTGCTAATATCATCGTGAGAAAAGAGAAACTGGAGCGACATAACAGCAACAAAAAATTTAAGAAAGTGGTCGGATATACCCGACCCACAAAAAAGGATCCTGATATTTGGCAGGTATTCGGCGCAAAACCCTTCCTGCCGCCCGAAGTAGGTCTGTTGTTGCAGGCCACGCCACGCCTTAACTTTGCTTTATGCATTTCCACTATAGCAACAGCCATTTTGTCTCTGCTTTTAGGAACATGGTACCAGACTTTAAATTTTTAAAGCAAAATCCTTGCCCGACTTAAATGAAAATTTTTAAATAAAATTCGCATAATTTTTTATTAATAAATTTTGTTAATGAAAATTAAAATAAAAATTGAAAATTAATAAATCAAAACATTTTATGATTCAGGTTAGATATATAAATTTTAATTACACTTTATTTATAAAATGTGTAGATTATAGAATTACTCTGCATTATGTGGCAATTCTACTGTTTTACACAATGCTATACAGTAAAAAAAAAAAAACTGAAGTTGTATTATGCTGCATGGGATGTTCCCCCCCCTTCCCTCCCCTTTCTTCGTTGTTACTCTGTTTGGTTCCAAACTTCCAATTAAAAATTGCTAATAAATATTTCCGAACCAAAGATTTTGGGGTCCAATTCAAGATAAACAATAGTGTTTGCTGATCAATTAGTAATAGTTTTATTAGTTTTCTGGACCAATTAAACTGGGGAGTCGCCTTTGCCACTATCTAGCCAGTGAGAAATCCATTATATACATATATATATATATGATGCTTATTCTAAAATCTGGACAATGTTTTTCTCCAAGCTGTGGGCTTTTCGCCTCAAGTTTAACTCTGATTTTAAAAAGCATGGATGGTGACTGCTTAAAAGTTCTTCAAACTTGACAAGAAAGAAGCTTCTTTTTCATCGATTCATTGTTTTTGGTGAGCACTGTTGTTACCTTTGATATCCATAAAGTTGATTAAAACATTACAAAAGAACGAAAAAGGTAATAGAGAGAGAATATGATTCATCTTTTTGGCTAAAAAACATCCAATGTGCTTTATATGTAAAACGTTAATAGTAGTTTAAGGTGGATGTTTTGTCTGCTTATAATATATATATATATATATTGTTTATATGTAAATATATATAAAAAAATTATTTAAAAAATTTATTAATTTTATCAACGAAAATATAATTAAGAAAAATTTTCTTTCAAATTTTTTTGCTTTTCAAGTATTCAAAGAAAAATTTTAGATTATTCAAAAAAATTTTCTTTCAAATTTTATTATTTTTTAATTTTTTAAAAATCTATAAATATCTTTCTACAAACGGTGATCCGTCAAAGGTAGCAATATTTTGTTCCTAAAGAAATATCAATTGCGCGGGGAAGAAAGTCCTGGCCTGCTCCCAATTGAGAAAGACTTGAACGTTAGAGAAACATTGTTGCTACTATTAGACAAACCATACACTCTCTTTTGCATTTGCTTAGGCATTGGAAGTTACATTATGTGACTTGGTTTTGCAACTTTCTATGCACCATCAGCAGCAAATCTTACGTTAAACCACGTAATTTTTTTATTCTTGTTTGACCATGACTAAACGCTTTAGAGGGTAGAACTTTCATGGGATTAAGAGGTCAGGCTACAAATCGAAGAAAACATCGATTATCAACATTTATCAAGATTCAGGAGTGAAGAAATCAACATCTTCGTTTGTGTAGAATCCAAATAAACCGAACAACAAAGGCTAAACATGCGCGTAAGAGTCACGTCACGTCACAAACAAAAGTTTAATGTCAAGGCCCCGACAACAAGGACGGAGGCAGCCGTCTATCCAAAAAGCTTAAGCCATTCAGTTTTGCCTGAAAAGAGCCTGTTTTCATGTCCCGTAACGCCGGGATGTTTAAAACTATAACACAAATTTTATGCTTTGCCAAAGCAAAGGAGCACTATTTGATTCAAAGTTGAAAACAGTCTTTACTCTCTAGAGTAGACAAATTACCCCTAGACGCCTTCTTCAACTGACACCTTTGCTTCCACTAAAGCTTCCTCTGGGAGTGTGTTTGTACATGCATTGTCCTCTTGCTGCAGACAAGAGTCCTTTTTAATGCAAATACCACAAGACCCTCCACGCACGCGCTGCGACAACAACGGACAAACCCCACTTTATTTACTATCATACCCTTGCAACACAACCATTATAAAAGCCCATCCCGCCAACTTTGACACCACGCTCACTTGCTTACCAATTTCCTAAAAACACATTTCTTTGACTTCATCACATCTTTGCTTTCTTCTGCCTTTTTAGTTGCTCTTATTTTCTTTTGTATTCTTAGGAAGAGAAAAACAGAGAGGAGAAGGAAAAATGCATTATCAAGGTGATTCTTGGGGCTACTGCATGCCAATGAGGAGCATGGGGTCAGACCCAATGGAGAGGGTTGTGAAGCTGGCCTCGGAGAGCGCCGTGGCGATATTCAGTGTGAGCAGCTGCTGCATGTGCCATGCTGTGAAGAGGCTCTTTAATGGAATGGGAGTGAACCCAACCGTATACGAACTGGACCAGGACCCCAGAGGGAAAGAGATGGAAAGGGCACTGATGAGGCTACTTGGCAACTCACAAGCTGTTCCCGTTGTTTTCATCGGAGGGAAGCTGATAGGAGCCATGGACCAAGTCATGGCTTCCCATATTAATGGAACCCTGGTACCACTTCTCAAGGAAGCCGGAGCTCTTTGGCTCTAATTCTGACAATATTATTAGAGAACTGTATGCCTAATTAATTAATTAATTAATTAATCAGGAATTACATGCATTTGAAAAAAAAAAAAAACAAAAGGTGCAGGAGTTCTGTCTCCATGATCTCTATCCTTTTTTTTTTTTTTATTTATGTATACAATTAGCTAGTTTTAATTAGTTAGTCCGTTTTGTTTTGTTTTCCAATGGGAGATTTTGAGGTCTCCTAAGCCCTTGTCTTATGGCAAATGGAATTAATGTAGCCGATGCATTGCCTCATTGTATAAAGAATGGAAGCTTGCTTTCTAGAAACTTTCACCATTAATTTAATTTGTTTCTAATGACCCGACGCAAACCAAAAGAAATGTCCGTACGAATGGAATTAGAAGGCCTCCGGCTGCCACAAGACAGGGACTGTGATACGATCATGAATTCGAATCGTTGACTGCCACGTTAGGGGACATTGAGGACCCACCGGTGTTCCAAGGTTTTCGAGCGCTACATAGACAGGCATGATTATCATGTTTGGGTGATTAAGCACACGCATAATGAGCATAAGCACGCAGATTTGAAAAACTTAATCCACTGACGCTCCGATTGCTTTATAAAAAAAAAAATTTATATTTTTAACTATTTGTTGGATAAAAAATTGATTGATTAATGAAAAATAATTTATTAATTAATAAAAAATGAGATCATATTTTAAAAAATTATTTTATGAATTTAAAAAGGGAAGATATTTTTTTAAAAAAAATTATTTATAAGTAAAATTAGTTATTAATACTTTTGAGCATAATTTTACTTATAGAAAACATTACATTAATAAATAAATAATATTACATTAATAAATAATATTATGTTATAATATATTAATAAATAATATTATATGAATAAATAATATATTAATAAATATTATTATAAATAAATATTATGCTAATATATTTATAATAATAAATAATATTATATTAATAAACAAATAGTCTATTATTAATAATCATATATTAATAAATATTATAATAAATAATATTATAACATATTAATAAATAATATAAAAATAATAAACAGTTTTATTTTAAGTATTTTTTATATTAATAAATATTTAATATTAAATATTATTAAAATATAATTATTTTAAATATTAATAATTTAATAATAAATAATTTTAAATATTAATAATTTTAATAATAAATTATTTTTAATATTTTAATAATTATATTAATATTATTTTTAAAAATAGATTTTTCAGAAAATAACCAAACAATAAAAAATATTTTTTATTTACTCATTCAAATAATAAAAAATATCTTTCAATTCAAAAGATATAAATATTTTTCAAAAATAATTTTTCTAAAGTTATTTTTTACGAATAAGGGATCCTAAAATTATATGTAAATTGGAATGAAGATAATGACACATTTACACATGAGCAGAGTCGTCAGCAACTCAGAATTGTTTTTCTCCTTTTTGTATAATGGAAATTTCATTATCATAGAGAAGTGGAAATAGACATGCCTAATAGAGATGTATTTGATGTAATTGAGTTTTTCTCAGGTTTTGTTTTGCATTTTTGTGTTCCCAATTGTGGCGTATTACTATGGTTTGTACCAAAAAAAAAAAAAAAAGTCCAAACACAGATACAAAGGACTACTATCACAAAATACAGTATTATCGGCGGAATAAATTTGCGTAGATAGGTTGTTTAAAAGATTTTATTCTCTGGTTTCCGGTATCAATTTAATGTGGAAACGTTGCCAGAATGACAGGGAGCATAATTATGGTGGTGCAGCAATGGAAGGGAACACATTCATAGTAGATGATGTTCAACCACAGACAGAGGTCCTGAATATTATTAAATATTTGTATGTATATTTCGATCATGGCATGGGTCGAACACATTCTAAAGGGAAAGCGCACATGTAATATTTATTATGGCCACAATTTAGGATGCTAGAATTTTCTTTTTGTTTTTGGTATATTAATGTATACTGCATCGTTTTGAAAAGCTATATTATGAAATAAAAAGAGCAGACTTAGTAGTACAATTCATGTTTAGTAATTTTAATATTAACTGTCTTTTTAATTTCTTGTTTAATTATATCTCCAGTGAGTATTTATAATATTCTATGGATAAATAGGCAGATTATAATTAAGGCTACTAAATGCCTAAGCCATTTCTCCTGCTTCCATGTCAATTACTTGGAATTTGTATTTCGCCTTTGCAAGGTGTAAAATTGCTGCCCTGTTGGAAGAATTGTTTGCGAAATTCACAATAAACTTGTTCCCAACAATTCATAGTCACGAAAAGCTTTTACAATGATCATAAAGAGGGAGGTGTTTGTCGAATGAGTGCATGAGCATGGCTAATATTAGGAACACATAAAATCGACGTCTATCAAACTAATTATATATCTCACGAACTTCAGAGCTGGATGAGTTGTTATTTTAACACTAACATGATTTTTTTTAATTTTTTTCTTTTATTTGGATAATGAGAAAAAAAATTTTAGTACGGTTAAAGATATTATTGTTTGGGTCTAATTTCTTCTTGGAGAGATTTTAAAGACGTTCTCTTCTTACATCGACTTGATAGATTTTACTTTTGGACAATTTTCCAATTACGAGTATTTTGAACTTTTGAACCAATTTGACATGTTAGATCAATCTGAAATCACAATACCACATCAGTTTAACTACCTCACCAATTTGGCCAACGAGCCCCCTCAATGCTAACTTGTCATCCTCTAAGTTGATGGTTAACGTCTAGGTTAACTCGACACTCCAGGTCATCCCTAACTGTAAGGCTAACCTCAAATAGTCTAAGTTGCTTGAAACCCTTCACCTCTCAATTATAAATAGGATCATTTAGGTACCATCTAGACATGTAACATTCTTCTACTTTCCCTATTCTTTTTTTTATTTTTCTCTTTGATTGATCTCTTATTTGAGCATTAAAAAACAAAAGCTATGAGTACCCCTAACCTTTATTCTTAACCGCTCTCTTTCTCTCCGTTGTGATTTTAGTGTTTTACTTCTTTTAAGTTAGCTTGGCACAAACACCAATCCTTATAAGAATTGAATCCAAATTCACATAAAGATAGAGCTCCATCCTTTTTAATTAAGCTAACTCCTTGCAAGTAAAGACTTCTTATAGGTGAATGTCATAACGGTTTTGGGACCGTCAAACTTAAAATGGAGTTTTAAAATCGAGAAAAATAAAAGGAGTCACCACCAATCTTTGTTAGGGTGTGATTGGCCACCCAAAAGTTTATCCTTTTAATAAAACTATAAAAACGGGTTTAAAGTTTATCAAAAAGATAAATTTCGATCTACGAAAAATCAAGTTGGATCTGGGAGTCGATTACGTGTGGGAAAGGATTAGCACCCCCGCAACGCCCATAAATTGGTACCATTTAATTACGCGCTATTTTTGATGTTGGATAAAAATGGTTTTAATTTAAAATTTAACACTAATTCCCTTCATTTGAAAAAATAAAATTTTGCTAAAATTTTTTATTTAGAAATATTGAGAAAATCTTTAAGTTAAAGAATTATCTTAAAATTCTCCAACAGCTAGGCATAATTTAAAATAACACTTTTCACTTAAGATTTAATACAATAATCCTTAAAATGAAATAACAATCTTTGTAGAAAATAATTGTTAGTGACTCTCCAACATCTAGGCAAGTACCAAGAATTATTTCTTTCGAAATGTTATTTTTATTTTATTTTATAATATCATAAATTTTTTTAAAAAAATGTATTATTCTTTTTTATTATAAAATATTTTATCACCAAGTAGTAAATAAAAATTAAAGATAGAATAGTGTAAATAAATATTGATAATAACATGCTAACGTATGTATGCCAATGAATGTTATGCAGGATGATATGCAATTCAAAAGTTGGATTCTTAAATATAATGAGGCAACCCCGACTCTCTAACATCTAAACAGAGCTTAGGTGCGACTGTTTATATTTAAGATCCCAATTTACTATTATACTTTTTTATTTATTAATCTTATTATTAAAGCGAATTAAGAAATCGTATGAAAAGACTTAACGAAGTAAAATTTCATAAATACATCATCATTTAGGCAGCATTCAGGAATAAATTGCTTCAAATGAAATTTTCACACGTATCCTTAGGATTTTTAGGATTTTGAATTTTAAAGGGTTTTGGATTTTAGTAGGGGGTTTTAGAAACCTAGGATTTTGAAAATTAAAAAAATAGTGTTTAAGGTTTCGTTTTTAAAAAAATACGAACATCTTTAAAAATCTCTGACCTCTAGGCGGATTTTCGAAGCATGTTCGATTTTAATAATTTTTGAAAATTAATTTAAAATTTTCTTATATTTATTTTTTATAAAAATTTATTATTAATAATTTCCCAACATCTAGGCGAAATTATTTTTTAAAAAAATATTTTTTATTCCCTCCAACATCTAGGCAGGAAAAATAATAATAATAATAATAAATATTTTTTTGAACATTTTTAATATATTTTTAATTATTATTTGTTTTTAATTTTATTATTATTAAAACAATGAGACATTTATTCTGACAGATTTAAAATTTATCATGCAAGAATAAATAAAACAAACTCAAAATAAAAAAAATAATAATATAAAAAAAATTCAAAAAAAAAATTTTTTTTTACCTGAACCGGATCGGTCAACGGTCCGGTCAACGCTAGTCTGGGCTAGTCCGACGGTTCGATCAGCGGTTCGGACGATCCAGCGGTTCAGACCAGTTCACTGGCGATTCACCTGGATCGATTCAAGGCTGGCTGAAGTGGGTCGTTGGGTCAGGTTGCACAAATCTCGGGCGGGATCCAGGTCAACGCGCGAATCCTCCTTGGCTGGAAACGGCGTCGTTTTGGCCTTATGCTCAAAACGACGTTGTTTTTCTTTTAATGTTTTCTATAGAAGTAAGTTTTTTTTAACTCATTTTGTTTCAAAGGAGAAAAAAAAAGAGAAAGGGGCTTTGGGGAGAAGTCGGTCGTCTCGCCGTCAGGCTACCGGAGCACCGCATCGACCGCCAGCTGGTCCA